TGAGAGAAAAAAGTCATTAAAAAAGTCATTGAAATATTCACTCAATAAGCATACACACACTAATATATAATACCATATCAATTCATCTAGAAACAAAAAGTCAAATCCAACTTTAATCAATTATTGAACATGAATCCCTACCAAAGGCATACCTAAACGCATACCTACATACCGCAACAATGGAAGAAAATAAAACTTCAAACCCGCAACAATGAAAGAAAATAGAGTTTCGAACTACAACAATGGAAGAAGGTAGTATTTGAATGTTCTCTAACCTTCGTCCAACAATTCTGAACTTGAAAATTGCAACAATGGAAGAAAATAGAACTTCAAACTGTAAAAAGGGGGAAAAAATAGAGTTTCAAACCACAACAATGGAAAAATAAAATATTCGAATGTTCTCTCACCACTAACATATAAACGAAACTCCTACAAAAACGTATCTATTGATTCCTCCAAGATCTAATCACCAAAACTTCCAACATAGAAATAACAAAATCTAAAAAATGTATATATCTTATTGTGTATAATACGTACTATCAAAATAGAACAAAGAGTATAATAGTCCAAAACAAATTATAAATCAGGAAAAAATGACCTCGTGGAATACAAGTCTAACTATATGGGACTTCATAGAACACAACAAAACCTTTCGGATTTATTGAGCTATAAATCTACTCAAAGGGATTTATAAATAAATCTCCGTTTATTTTTTTTTCAATATAATAAAAGTAAAACATTATAGTTAGTATTCATTTTCACTCATTTATTTATTATAATACATCTTTTAACTCTTGTTAGTTATAAATTATTATTTATAATTTTATTTAAAAAATTATTTGTAAAGTTACAAAATTAACTCGCCTCCCGCCCCTACTTTTGCCATGCCCTGCTATGATATGGGGTGGGGGTGGGGACAGAGGATGACAAACTTGCTCCAAACCTACTCCATTGCCATCCCTACTCATCGCTATCGGCCACCATCGAATGACCTCCTTTGCCAACCACCTTCGATCACTATCTCCCTCAATCACTAACCACCTGCCTTCTCTTACTCGTGGTAACCACCTTCGGCCACCACACTTTCTTGAAAAACACCTTCAACTACCACTTTATGAATTGAGACAAATATTAAAAACTAAATAATAGCTAAAAATCTCCCTATCCATAAATAAATAAACACAAACACTAAAATCCTAAATTGTAAATGAAGACAGAATTTAAATCACAATTATACCACTTTATCAATTTATTCAATTTATAATAGGTTTGAACAATTTCAAATAGGAAAATGATAACCACTATGTAAAAAAAAAATATTGAAATATATGACAAGAATATACAAATTACAAGGAATTTTTTTTCATAAATCCCATGTATTGGCACTTATCTATCTAAAAACTCTTACTTTCTTTTTTTCTTCTTATAACTCATTTAATCTTGAGGCATGTAATTATATAAACACTCAAATATTTCAATCGCACATGTTTTAGAGTTCGAATTGTAATCTCCTAACCAACGATATACTAGAAAGTTAACTTTCTAAAATCTCCAAACAAGAATTCATTGCTACGAATAAACCAATATTTCAGTCTCGTTGCGGAATCCTATTACTGCAAATTTCACAGCGATTTTGACAGGCATCTATTATCATACTAGTTGAGCTATCTTACTTCAACATTGTTTTCCGAACCACGTTCAACATCAAAAGTGTGAACATTCACATTTGAGTTAGGCACTATAAATACAAAAGATGAATTGTAAATCTAAAATCATGAAAGCTAATAAATATCGTATTTAAAATCTTACTCTTTTAAAATTATGAAGATTAATAAATACCATATTTTCACATTTTTTTATAATGTGAAAATTTAAAAATAACGCAACAAAAAATCTAAACGAAAACTAAAATACAATGTGAATATTCACAGTAAATAACAAATATATAACTAACATTCGACAAAACAAAATATATATCAAAGTACAATGTGAATGTTCACAATAAATAACAAACATACAACTAACCTTTAAAAAATAAAACTCATATCAAAATATAATGTGAATGTTCACAGTTTATAATTAACATACAACTACCGTTAAAAAAAACTAAACGCATACCAATGTGAACATTCACACTAGAACATGAAAACATGAAGAAAAAAAAATTAAAAAAGTAAAAATTGACTATTTCGATTGTTCAATAGTAACAAAAAATAATTGTTTAACCAACAAGTATAGTAACAAAAACAACAAACATACAACTAATATTTGAAAAAATAAAATTTATATCAAAATACAATGTGAATGTTTACAGTTTAAATTAACTTACAACCAGCCTTAAAAAAGTTAAACTCATACCAATATGAACATTTACACTACAATGTGAAAACATGAAATAAAATCGAATAAAGTAAAAAAAAAATTTGACTTTGATTGTTCAATGGCAATAAAAATAATTGTTCAACCAACAAGTATAGTGACAAACAATATATAAAAAATATCAGATAGTTCATATATATATTGACGCACATTTTTAGAAAAATCTGTATATAATCAATTTTGGCATAATACTAGTGAATAAACTAAACAATATTGATGACTACACAAACCGACAGGGAGACTACAGTTTAAGTATAACAATAGTAAAAAATGATTGTTCATCGCCAGTTTGTCATCATCTCTATTGCGAGTCCACCATCATCTTTATCATTAGTCTATATATACAACTAATCTTCTCTTCTAAATGTTCTTCTATGATAGAAGCTTATTGTAAAATAATGGTGAATGAAGATCTTTGATAAAGTGAATCTTCTATATTTGCATACAATATTTTATAGGGAACTTGGGCGAGAAGTCTAATTTTCAATTTTTTTTAGCCAAAGGTCCAGGTGCTAGAATACTTTGTCCAAAAGGACAAGCTTGGACAAAATGACCAACATGCCCCTAGCTCTCTCTCTTTCTCTCTCCAAACCCTAACCCTCTCTCTCTTATAGTCACCAGAGTCGTCGGAGTCACTGCTCGATCTCTTGATTGCATCGCACCACTGGCGAACTACCTCAACACCTCTTCCTTTTCCGTTGTCCTCCATCGCGGAAGGCCTGAAGAAAGAGATTAGAAGCAACTCTTCGCCACCAACAACTGTTCTGTTTGGCGAAGTCGGTGTTGTACTCTTATACGGCGATGAACAAAGTGGCGGTGGTGGTGGATCTAGATCCTTCAAAGCTCAACAAAAATAGCATCGCACTAGTTCACTCTGGCGCTGGTACATAGAATTTCAGGGTTCTCAGTCTACTCTAGGTCTTCACCTGTAGAGAAACCTTAATCTAAGACGATCATCTACCGCACCAACTCCTCCCTTTGTGGTTTATGGCGAACTCCGGCGATGGAAGTCAACTCTAGCGAGTAATGCTCTATCCAGTGTCCGTCGATGCTGAATATCGACCTATCCATCCCCAAACCTCAACTAAATCCTACCTTGTAGGGTCTCCAAATGTCTGCATAGATGCATTATAGATGTATTAGATGAGCATTCCGTAGTGTGTGTATTAGCATATGTGTATAAAGATCCAAGTAATCCATAATTTTGGGTTTAGGGTTCAACCTTCGTATTCATGCTATCTGTGTAACTATGTACATCGCTAGATCTGCTTTGGCGAGGTCTTTGGCCACTCGGAGTTTGGCATTCAAGATGACTATAAGGCCAAATACATTTTAATTGCAAAATAACCTAAAATACAGATCTATTGAACGAAAACCCTAGAATACATATATGTTTTTACAGATAATTTTTTGTTGTTGTTGTTGTTGTTGTTGTTGCTATTGATCATGCCTCCCTAATGATAACTTTTTTTTTTTCTTTGTTGAACAGATATAGGTTGGATTTGGCTATTCAGATCTGTAAAAAAATTTTTTTTTTTTTATCTGTTTTGTGTTGTTGTTTTTTTATCTGTTGGTGTATTGTTATTTTTTTTATCTGTTGGTATGTTGTTGTTGTGGATAATTCCAATAGATAGGAAACAAGTTTGTGAAATTTCAAACAGATAGGAAAATAGGCCTTCAATTTGAACCAATAGAAAAAAAAAAAAAAAGGACAAATAGTCAAAAAAAATTGAATTGATAGAAATAAACATTTGAACAAATAGAAAAAAATTTGAACAGATAGATATAAATTTCAACAAATAGTCAAAAAAGTCAGTCAATAAAAAAAAGTCAACAGATAAAAGATCTATTAGAATTTAAGTTCAAAGGGATGATATTAGGTGAAATATAAGAATATTTTGCGAATTTATTAGGTTGTAAGTGCTCTAAATGAGATTTATAAACAAATTTTTATAATGGTTAAAGTTAAAGATTTAAATAGGAAAAAAAAAATTAAATAGTTACATGTGCTTCCATTGAAGAATTAAAAAAGGATTATATTAAAAACTAAAATAAAGTTGGGGACTCAAATTTAATGATTGATAATCTATTGAAATATTTAAGAAAATTCTCTCTCTTCTTTCTCTAATCATTAGTTAATTATATCTTTTACATATTATTAGATCTATTATTTTCTTAATAAATAATTTATTCTAATTCCTTTCTTTTCTTCTAATTTTATTTTATTAAATTGACTCTATAATAATTGCTTCAACATATTCATCATTTTTTTTTTCTTTTTCTCAAAATTTTTTGAAGAATTCAAGAATAAAATCAAAAAAAAAAAATGCTTGAAAAGGAAAATCCAACAAAAAAGAAAAACTGAAGAATAAACCAGTAAAAAGTAGGGGAAATCGCAAATATATGAAACATTGCAACTTTAACACACAAAAGAATTGTGCACACACTAAATTACACCATCATAAGAACATAATTTTTCCCACTGTTGCACGTAATTGCAATTTCCCCAAAGTTACAAACAACATGAGTGCAAAGTGGGTGATTGCCAGCCACTGAGATGAGACGCCATTATTGACTTCTTTCATTGCTTTCACTTTAGTTAAAGGTGCCGAAAAATCATTTGTTCGTTTGAATAATTAAACCAGTTATTTACTAGTGTGCCCTTTGTTAATGTAAATATTTTTTTATTTTTTTTTTGGGTCTTCCGTCCCTGTATTGCTTCCTTTCTTGCCTTTCTTATCATTTACCTATATACCAAAATTGTTAAAAATTTGCAGAGGTTGTTCAACCTTGTTTTTGATCTCTGTATTGCTTGGTTTCATAAACTTTCCTTCTTTCAGAACAAACACCATGGATGTATTTGGGATCTTTATCTCTCCATTCATACAAGCTATGGTTGATAAATTGTCCTCTTATTTTAACGACTTAGTGAGCACAGCGGACGTCGGCGCTGGCATCCAGAATCTGAAGAAGGCATTAGAGGATTTAGAGACTCTGTTGGCTGATGCAGAGAACAAACAGACATACCACAAGGATATCAAAAAGTGGCTTGAAGAGGTTTACCATTTGGCTTACGATGCAGATGACTTATTGGATGATTTTGCCACTGAAGCTCTCGAAAGGAAGCTAATGGCGGAGGAGACGACGATGGGAAGAAGATCAGCTAAGTTTCCACGCCTCTCTTCTATTGTTCCATTCAATTTAAAAAATGGGTCTAAGCTAAATCAGATTACTAGTCAATTACAAGAAGTTGCTACCAAAGGAAAAGATCTTGGTTTAGATAAAAGACTTGTTGGGAGGATGTCTACAGATTTACGGCAGAGATCACAAACTACAAGTTTGAAGGAGCCTCAGATTCATGGCAGAACTGAAGACATGAAGCAAATTATCGAATTGCTACTTGGGGATGCACCTACTGGAAAATTTTTTGATGTAATTCCTATTGTAGGCATGGGTGGGATCGGCAAGACTACAGTAGCTCAGCACATTTACAATGATGACCGACTGGAAAATCATTTCAATCTAAAAGCATGGGTATGTGTATCTGATGACTTCGAAGTTGTGAGAATATCAAAGGCAATTCTCGAGTCGTTCACTCATCGTTCATGTAATTTTAGTAACTTAAATGAGGTTCAAGTTCAACTCAGCAAAACGTTGGCAGGGGAAAAGTTTTTGCTTGTCCTAGATGATGTGTGGGACTATGGACGTGATGGGTGGAATTTGTTACGACCCCCATTTGGAGCTGGAACACCTGGAAGTAAAATCATTGTGACAACGCGAGACAGAGGTGTTGCAAAGCAGATGGGAATGGATAAATATCACAATTTGCACAACTTATCAGACGACGATTGTTGGTTAATCTTTGCCCAACATGCATTTGAGTACAGAAAAATCATGGAATGCCCAGAATTGGTATCAATTGGTAAGAAAATTGTTGAGAACAGGTGCAGAGGCTTACCCTTGGCAGCAAGGGCCCTTGGCAGCTTATTATGCTGTAAACAAGAAGAACATGAATGGAAAGAGATACTGAACAGCAATATATGGAATGAGGAAAGTGGCATTCTCACAGCATTGAAATTGAGCTACCTTCATCTCCCTGTCCATTTGAAGAGGTGCTTTTCCTACTGTGCAATTATCCCAAAGGACTACGAATTCATGGAGAAGGAATTAGTCTTGCTGTGGATGGCTGAAGGTTTAATTGAGCAACCAAAAGGTGGAGACCAAATGGAAGACTTAGGCAGCGAGTATTTTCACGAATTGGTGTCAAGATCATTTTTTCAACGGTCAAGTGGCAACGAATCGCAATTCATAATGCATGACCTCATCAATGATTTGGCTCAAGATGTTGCAGGGGACAAATGTTTTAGGTTGGAAAATAATTTAGAGGGTGGCAAGCAGAACAAGATTTCGGACAAAGCACGTCATGCATCTTATGTTGCTAGCCGTTATGATGGAATCAAAAAATTTAAAGCTTTCAATGATGCCAAATGCTTACGAACATTCTTAGAATTTTTGCCACAAGAAGAATTTCACTACGTAACGAGGTACTTGATACATGATTTGTGGCCAAAGTTAAAATGCTTACGTGAGTTGCGTTTGTGTTATATTGATGTAATTGAACTACCAGATTCCATTGGAGATCTAAAGCATTTGCGGTATCTTGATGTATCCGGTTCTGGGATTAGAAGGTTACCTGACACAGTGGTAACTCTCTACAATTTACAAGTCTTGTTTTTGAAATTTTGTCATCTACTTCAGAAGTTGCCTCCAAACATGGGGAGGCTGGTGAACTTGCGCCATTTTGACATGACCGGCGTGCATATTCCATCATCAGAAGAGATGTCGCTACATATAGGTAAATTAATTAATCTCCAAACATTGTCAAATTTTATGGTGGGTAAAGATTGTGGGCGTAAAATAGGAGAGTTGAAAAACCTATCACACATTCAAGGGGCAATACACATATCAAGACTAGAGAATGTCAATGGTGTTAAGGATGCAAGGGATGCCAATTTAATGTCTAAGGAGGAGTTAAAAGAGTTATCACTAGAATGGGATGAATCTCATAGTTCACAGAATGACATAGTTGAGAGGAATGTGCTTGACGTGATGAGACCTTTCAAATTGTTGGAGCGACTCACCATCAGTGGGTATCGCAGTACAAAATTTCCAAACTGGGTTGGAGATGTTTCGTTCTCCAAACTGGTGTTCATGCGATTGAAAGGTAGCAAATGTTGCACATCTTTGCCACCACTTGGACAACTACCCTTGCTTGAAGACCTTTACATTGAAGGAATGAGTGCAATAAAGCACCTGGGTTGTGAGTTCTATGGGCAGCAGTGTGGTGCTGAACCTTTCCGCTCTCTAGAGAGACTGAGCTTCGAGTTTATGCCAGAATGGGAGGATTGGTCTGCTTTTGAAACAGAGGGAGTTCAGCCGTTCGGTCGTCTCAGTGAGCTTTCCATCATAAATTGTCCCAAACTTGTTGAAAGATTACCAAATGATCTTCCTCGTCTGAAGTCTCTCAAAATTGAAGGTTGTCCGCAGTTGTTAATTGATGTTTCGAGCCTCGTTCACCCATCACTTGCGTCCTTGTCAATGGAAAATGTAATGCTCACAAGCCTTCCAGCACTCTTAGGGACAAAGAACACGATTGAACTTGGTTCCCTCACCTTGGATATTAGACATGTTACAGTTCTTGACTCCTTCTGCGATCCAAGCACAACTGATGAAGAGTTACTGGCTAATGAAATGTCTAAGCATTTGCCTTCAATAACTGCTTTGAGCATTTCTCATGTTGAAAAACTGGCGTTCCTACCAGCATGGTTTACTCGAGATTTGACGAGACTCGAGAACTTGGACATTCATAACTGCCAAGAACTCGTAACATTATGGCGGAATAAGACAAGAATACAAGTATGTCTCCCTTCCCTCTGCCATTTGAAGATTTCTCATTGCCCCAAACTGGTTTGCTTGTTTGAAGAAGAGCAAGAAAAAGGAGGAGAAGGTTCGAAAAAGCAGCAACATGATGGGCTGCCTTGCATGACGAGACTCGAGAACTTGGACATTCATAACTGCCAAGAACTCATAACATTATGGCAGAATAAGACGAGAATACAAGCATGTCTCCCTTCCCTCTGCCATTTGAAGATTTCTAACTGCCCCAAACTGGTTTGCTTGTTTGAAGAAGAGCAAGAAAAAGGAGGAGAAGGTCCGAAAAAGCAGCAACATGAGGGGCTGCCTACGAGACTCGAGTATTTATCAATTGAAGAGTGTGGAAGGCTGAAGAAACTGCCACAAGATCTGCACACATACACATCTCTTGGGGTGCTTAGAATCACGGGTTGTGCAAGTCTGATCTCTTTTCCAATGAAGGGTTTGCCATCTATGCTGAGAGGACTTACGGTTTCAAATTGTGGTGCTTTGCAGTCCCTACCCGAGTTGATGACACTCAATAATCTGCAAGAGTTGTGGGTTTTTGAATGTGCATCACTCAGATATTTATTGTCAAGAGTTGGGCTACCATCCACACTAAAACAACTTAATATTCGCTGGTGTCACAATCTGGAGTCACTTTTTGCAGAGGAAGGGATCAAAATTGATTGTCCATCTCTTGAAAAAATTGAAATTATGGATTGCAAGAGTCTCAAATCTTTAGCTGAAGCCAATAATCTCAGGAATCTCAGAGAATTGGTGATAAGATGGTGTCCTAATCTGGAGCCCCTGTCACTTGGTGGTCGTGATGAGAATAACAACATCAACCAACTCACTTCGCTTCAAATGCTGGGTTTAGTTGATTGCAGAGCAGGAATGGTCTCCTACTTTGTGAAGGAAGGGAGTTTCCCCACCAACATCACTTCACTTGATATCGGGAATCTCAGAGTGGAGGACGTCGGTCAACTTCCATCTCCATTAGAGTGGGGTTTGCACACACTCTCTTCTCTTACAACACTCCACCTTCGAGGCGCAGTACGTAGAGAAAGAGTTTGGCCGTGGGGAGATACGGTGTCCTTTCCGGAAGAAGGGATGTTCCTGCCCACCTCTCTCATCCGTTTGACCATCGAAGACTTCCAAAATCTGGAAGGACTCTCTTATGAGGAGTTTCAAAACCTCACCTCTCTCCAAACACTTGAAATCTATGATTGCCCTAGGCTCGCGTCCTTTCCAAAGGAAGGGTTGCCTCCCTCTCTTTTGCATCTACGGATCAGGAATTGCCCTGAGCTTGTGACCTTTCCAGAACAAGGATTCCCTGCCTCGCTTTTGTCACTGTGGATCGTAGATTGCAATCCAATACTGAAACAGAAGTGTGAAAAGGGGAAAGAATATTGGCCCATCATCCAACACATTCCTCGTGTATTTTAACTCCGATCAAACGGGTCAGCCTTTAAGTCCCTGCAAGGTACAAACAAACCAACACAAAATCTGTCATATCATTTTTATTTATTTATTTATTTATTTATTTTCTCATTACTAATATCATCTCAGATTTTTATCACAACTGAGAGTTTACTATCTACTTCTTTTGGATTGTAAGAGAGTTTCAGTTTGTTGGGAATGTTAAAATTACTAATACCTTACTGATTAAACACACTGCTCTCTTTTTCAATTCATTCTTTGTTTTTTCCTTTCAAATATTTCTTTTCTCTTAATTTTCCCTTAATAATGAACGGATAATTTTCATTCTCATTTGTTATTTTATCTTGTATTATTCATAGGTGTCGATGGAAAAATTGCCCTATTCATTATTACAGCCACTAGAAATCTTAACACATTTCTACAAGGTAAGATTAACTAATTCACCTTATGAACCGAGCCTTCCTACGAAAATTATCTTTCTATAAAATGTTCTCTCTAAAAAATGATCTCTCTAAAACTAATGTACTAGTGGTTGTATTAGTGGTGGTGTTTTTTGTAGTGGGGGTGGTGGTGTTGGTAAGACTTTAGACCAAAAAATGTTTTACACTAGGGGGAAAAATTTTCCACCTACAAAAGTGTAAAACGTTTTTCACTCAAAAAGGCTTGTTTTTATTGACCATAGAAAACATTTTCCATTTAACTTTCGTTTTCTATCATACTAACCACCAGAAAATGTGAAAAACATTTTCCAAAAAATATTTGCCGCCGAAACAAACAAAGCATAAGAGATGAATTTTTGCTAGGTTCAGCAAATATTCTGTCAAAGGGATAGACATTGATGACTGCTTTTACTTACCCTGAGCTCAATTCATGCATAATCAACTACCATTCTTCTAAAATTCTACTTGTTCCCACATTAATTCATCCGTGCTTAAGTAAACAAAAGAATCCTTACACGTTTGTTCTACAAGTACCTAAATGGAAGGAAAAATTTTACCTGTGCACCATGTTTCAATTATATCTCGAGGTTGCCTTTTTGTTAGGACCTTAAGAGAAACTTTATTTTACTGTTGTGCATTTAACATACATTAAATCTCATTCTTGAAAAAAGAAAAAAAGAAAAAAAAATGCATGCACAAGCTTTGAACTATATAAATCTAGTTTTTTAAAGTCTATTGAAAAACATAGCATCACTTTTTGATACTCTTCACGAAGGTAACTTGCTCAAACATAATTCTTCTATTGTTACCATCATTGCAATTTTGAGTTGTTTCAAGTTCTAGTTTTAGTAAATTCGAAATTTACTGATGATGGGCTTATGCATAACTTTTGAGTTTCAGATATTAGGGTCTTGCTCTGACTAAATAGCTGGCAGGTTGAAGAATTTTATTGTCCTTAAAAGACAACAATGCTTCTCTCCCAAACCGTATCAATGACAATCTCTAAAGATGTTGAGCTCATCCATCATCCAAAATCTTATCCACTATGTTCACGGTCTTCCATGCTCACCTATGGATGACAATCAAAATCTACTCTGTAGGTTTTGATGGTTCACTTCTACTTTAGGAACACATTAGGGAATACATTAGTTCTCTAATTCATCCTTGTCACCAACTCACGCAAAAATATTTTTTTTCCAGGTTCTTCATTCACAATCTGAGCTAGACACTGCCTTTTCTCTTGATCTTTCATTTTTCCTGTAATGCTGCTTCGATTCCACGTAATTGGCAGACAAAATTTTCATTGTCTTTAATTTCATTATGTTATCCATTCGTAGTCCATACCATGGCTTCCAAGTTCATTTCAATAGAATTAGAATTATGTATTCCACTCTTGCAATTTTTTGGACTTAGGTGGGACATAAAAATTTGGTGTGTCCCATTTATGCAAAACATATAGCAATATCCATGGCAGCATGGAATGTATTTTGCGAAAATTAATCTATTACATCAGCAATTGAAATGTTGACGCATGATGTATTAGCTAGCTACATAATGTTTCCAATGGCTACAAAATAAATGGTTCAGTAATTTGTATTAGTTCGAGTTATTTGTTCCTTTTGAAATTGCCGAGACAAGAGCTAATGAGTGGTTCCATTTCACTTGAATGCTGATATTGTTTTTCATTTGCTTCATGAGTACATTCGCCTATTCCACCAAATACAGATACACCTCCATGAGCTTCAACAATATTGTTAACCCTAAAGAGGACAACTTCCTCAGTCTGTTACAAACCTGCAATTGCTGCTTGAAAAACTGTGTTTTTCAGTATTTTTTCAATGTTTTGTTGAAAATTTAAATAGAAAAATGTACTGACTATTGTATTTACCTTTTTGTTCACAGGGCTTTGTTGTTGTTGTTGAAACAAACTTTAGGATGTACGCATGCTCATTATCTAAACTGCATTGCAAGTTTTTGCGCTTGTTCTCAAGGTATGCCTAAAATTTGCTTGATGAGTACTTTGGATGCTCTGTTCTAAAATTGAGGCTTTATCTAGTAATGTTGAAAACTCTCATAGGAGATAAGGGAACAAGAGTCAGGAAAAAAAAATGATAAAGGAGTAAGAGATATATCAAGATAATTGAGAAGAAGTCTTTTCCGTAATTGAAAAAACCTCCCTCCAGCACACTCTTAGGCAAGAATTTTGATCATTTAAATTTCCAGACATTGCTCTGTTCTAAAATTAAGGCTTTATCTAGTAATGTTGAAAACTCTCATAGGAGATAAGGGAACAAGAGTCAGGAAAAAAAATGATAAAGGAGTAAGAGATATATCAACATAATTGAGAAGAAGTCCTTTCCATAATTGAAAAAACCCTCCCTCCAGCACACTCTTAGGCAAGAATTTTGATCATTTAAATTTCCAGACATTGCAAAAAATCACTTTGTGTTCTGAAGCCTTTCTGCTCGTATGCTATTCTACATTTGACAGTTACGAATCCAACTTTGTTACTATGGGGGTGCGAAAGTATGTTTGGGGGTGCAAACCCCTATACTTTTAAATTATTTTAAATTTCTTAGTATAATATATGAAATTTTTCAAATTTTTTGGGGTGTGGTCACCCCCATCCCTACACCCCTAGATCCATCCTTGGTTAGGAAGCCACCTAGTCTGGTCAAAATCCATACGGGCAATCTATGGTTACTTTGCCACCCCAAAAATGGCAATATGGAAGAATCGGTCATTTCATCTTTTACTTGATAGAGTAGTTAAGACTTTACAATAATAGTTAATAAAATGATGAAGTTTGGTCCTTTTTCCTTTAAGTGAGCTTGAGTTGGGTTGCTAATTTCAATTTATTTGTTATTAAGCAAATTTCTTGCCTTCTCATCTCGATTACAATTGTGTTCATGTATATTACTTTGAACCTCTTATCAACTTGTGGTTTTGTTTCCTTATCTTGCAGGTAGCGTTTGAGGATGCTTGAGACTGTGCACAAGAATATGGAGGTTTGTTATGGGAAGACTCAAAAAAAATGGTAGTGCAGGCTGAAATATCCATGCACATCTGAGAATTCCCTTGTCAAAGGCAATAGATTCTGTGTGCAATCTGCAAGAAAGGATTTAAAAGGATTTGAATGTCTGGTCTGTGATGATTTGGAAAGTTAGATGGATTCCATGTTGATGCTAAAGTTTGCTCTCTTGTTGATAAAAGCACTAGTGTCTGGAATGGAATGAAGCTCTCATTAGATAATGTTGTTTTGTATTTTGAAGCTGAGTTGATATGTAAAATCCCTTTTTGCCCAAGGCTTGCTGATGACATACTGGTTTGGCACTTTACTAAAAATGGCCTTCTTTTTTCTATTAATCTACAAATCATTTGGAGATGGATTTGCAAAGAAGAGAAAAACAGGTCAATTCTTCAGATGGTGCGAGTTTTGAAAGTGCATTTGGGAAGAAGATTTGGCTGCTGAAAATTCTGAATAAAGTATAATCTTCATATGGAAAATCTGTTCAAATATCCTTCATGTTCGGTGAAACTTGAGTAGCTACAAAGTAATTCAATTTGATGGCTGCTAACTTGTTCGTTAGCAGAAAATTAGTACTGTTTTTGGTGGTTTGAGTCAGCTTACAATGTGATTGACAATGTTAGCATTGTAGTCCTTCACATTCTTCATTTGTAGGTGTGGTTAGGTAGCTGATTTTTTTAGAACTTAACTTCCTTCTTTTTTGTGCCACATTGCCTAATTGAGTTTTCAAATGTTATTCACTTTCCAAGATCATTCTTGAGAGTATGTTTTGTTACTTGCTCATATAGATGATGTAGAAGCACAATGACTAGAACAAAGTTTTGATTATGTATTCAATTTAGTTGATGTTCTGAGGCAAAATGCTAGCTAGGCAGTTGCAACATAATACCTGCCCAAAAAAATAAAAACTAAAAACAAAATAAGCTATTTTAGCCAAATAAGACAAAATGTCACATCCAACTCATAATCATTTCATTTTTTCTCTCATAAAAGTCAAAAAAGCTAAAAATTCTATCCCAAACAAGGCTTTTTAGCCCTAGGCTAAAATAGCCAAAAAGCCAACCCACATCCTAAGCGAGCTTTGAGCCAAGTATAAAATTTTTCAAAGGAATGAAATACATGTATGTGGACATACATAATATATCTATACCATTTATATACCTATATTCAAAGCCTAGATCTCATTTATCTCTTAATTTCTTCCAATTGCTGTCATAATGGCTGATAATATTATTCCTCATTCTGTAGGTATCAACTCTAATCATATTGTGGCATTGTAGTTGTGGAATGATTCTTTGCAATATAGGAATTAATATAATGCTGAAGGGCCTCTTGTTTTTTCTATGGTTATATGGAGAATTAAAAGCACTCGTGGATCTAATTTAGTTTTTTTTTGCTTCTAATGACTCTCAAGCTAATGTTAGAGTAGTATTTTTTGTTCAATTTTCTAAGTACAAACTCAAGTCTTTCAATTCTAATACTTATTCTCAACACACTAGAGAACCTAATACTTGCTGAATTTTAAGAATTTTGAAAAATCTCCATGACATTTCCATGCATCATCCAAAAGTTCAAGAATTCGAAAAATTTTCTCAATTTAATTTCGGGCATTTAAAGTAACAACACAAAGCATTAGAAGAATGATATTTAAAAACTTGAATCCACTGGGATTATTAACTAATACTCTATCTACTTGCTGGTTTTTTCTTTTGCTCTTTTTTTTTTGGTCCAAATGAACCAACACCCTTTGGAATTAAGGTCTTACATATGTAGTTCAACAAGGCAACCATTGAACTCATGTATTGCAGCTCATCGAGATTGCTATTTCCAATGTTTCACTTTGAAACTTTAAGGCTGTGTTTTGATTAAGAATTCTGGGATTATGAAGGGGGAGCTGGTTTTTTCTTTTGCTCTTTTTTTTTTTGGTCCAAATGAACCAAAACCCTTTGGAATTAAGGTCTTACATATGTAGTTCAACAAGGCAACCATTGAACTCATGTATTGCAGCTCATCGAGATTGCTATTTCCAATGTTTCACTTTGAAACTTTAAGGCTGTGTTTTGATTAAGAATTCTGGGATTATGAAGGGGGAGAAATGATTATGGAGGGGGAGAAAATAGATAGTGAAAGTGAAAAAATTTAGCTTCTATTACATTCATTTTTTTCCCTTCTTTTTTTCTTTTCTTCCAAAAATCCCCCTCAAATCCTTTATCCAAACGCACTCTAAGAATAACCTCATCCCAAGTGGGGATAGGAATCATGTCATGTCATATCGTATCATCACGGGTCCGTGTCCAAAACACCCAACACTAACATGATCCATTTAATTATACATGTTAAATATCATGGCACTGACCTAACCTTCTTGTAATTGTGTCAATCCGAACATGACACGGCTAACATGGTTAGCATTAGAATTTATTTTAGATTATAAGCAGATTGTACATCCTAATTCAAGCAAACTTGTTTCACAACACATTAGAGAGAGAGAGAGAGATCAAAAAGTGAAAGAAAATACCTTTTTCCGTATTAATATAAGCATAGACCGCTCGAGCGACCAAAACATCGCTCGAGCGTTAGACACTAGGAACGGCTCGAGCAACCAAATCATGGCTCGATGACAATGGCCCCCTCCCAAAAGTTCAGACTTGCAAAGATACCGCGCGAGCGAGAGAAATACCGCTCAAGCATCAGACACAGAATACTGCTCGATTGACTAACCCATGGCTTGAGCAAAGAACACCCCACTCCCAGAAGTTCAGAATGCAAACACAGATACTAGGCAGAACCAAAGCCCGCTCGAGCGAAGGAAAGACTGCTCAAGCGAACTCAACGGCAAACATATATAAATTCTTTTGAAATTCCAATTCCCAACCTGTTCAAACACGACCAGTAACTCCAAACAACCATTCCCACATCACAACAAGACAACAAGGAATACAAACAACAACAATAAGTACCGGATTCCGGATCAAAGAATATAAAAAGGTCGGATCTAAACCCGAGCTACTATACCAAACATGCCATTGGTGACCCCACATCATACACAATCCTTTCACATGCTTCACGCGGCCAAACAAACGAGCCCATAAGGGTAACTTATTTAAATATTAACACCCAAAACGATAATATATAGAAAAGAAGAAATACATTAAAGTGTGAATAACTTAAAGTAATTGCACTTATATGGAAATGTAAGTCGGAGCAATGTAAGAAGTGCATCCCATACCACATATTTCACTTTCACCAGGCACAAGCTCACTTGTACCTTCATAAAAGTAAAATTATTTTGAATTGTTTGTGTTTCAATCCATTTTTCCTAATATATAGGAGTATGTCAATATTCATGAAAATAATTTAAAAAATTCTTTACTAATCTACCACACATTCAATATGAATTATAATAGCCTATTAATATTCAAACATCCAACAAAACTTTAAAAAGAAAACAAGTTATAGGCAACTGCTTTTTCTATTAGGTGCAAAATCAAGCTTCAAATTATAGCAGTGTTCTTCTGGCTTCCATTGCTGGTAAGTGTCATTCTTTTTTATTATAGTAGTGCTTATGTTTATTTGTATTACCTTCAAGGCCAGCTTGCTCACTTTGATCTTCTCTCTCTTCACTCAAAATTTTGCATGAAATTGTTGATTTGAATATATATATATATATATGCAGTGATGAGATTAATATCACAGATCTGATTATATATTGTAGATACGAAGGGGTATGAGTTTTGGAGTGGCCCCTTGAATGAGTTTTGGCTCAATGAGGTGTGTGTATTTTACAGTGTTTAATTAAAGAATTTTCTCTATCTCACATACTACAAAACACCACATACTAATCAAATGACGAAAAAATTTCTTGAAACATTTTATTCACACTTATGTTTAATAAATTTATTTGCCTAAGCCTACCCTAAATATAATAAACTGAACTCAGATTTGGACTCAATTACCCACAACTTTGAGGGTTTTTTTTTTCTTTTGATAAAATCATATTAATATTTAAAGTTAGACCATACCTCAAATTGTTTATTCGACATAAAAAATGAGAACTTAAAAATACATATTTTTGTGTTAAAATTTAATTTTTCACCAATTAAAATATCTCATCAAGTACTTATTTGTGAAAAAAAAATTAAAAATTGACAGAAATATATATTTTTTAATTCTCCTTTTCGGAATCAAAAAAACAACTTGAAAACATGGGAGTACTAAACAAGTTTCAATTTCCATTTTCAGTTCTATTTTTATTTTTTTTATGATATATATACTTTCTATTTTCAAAATAAGTTCACTCTCCTTCCCCACCCTCACCACTACCGGCCACCACCCACCTCTGCCACCCTCTGGCAGCCCTTAAGCCACCTTCCAGCAACCCTCTAATCACCTTGTGACCTCCAGCAAGCTTTGGCAACCCTCGGGCAAGCCTTAGGCCAACTTCCACCCTTCAACCACCCCATGACGTCTGGGCAGTCACCCATCGCCGGCCACCATTTCTAATAATATATTGTTTTCCAAAAGCTCCAGGGCTGTTCACCAGGACCATGAACCAGCTAAAACCTTTAATGTAAGCTTCAGTCTCATTTTGGGTAATTTCCTTTGGCACTCAACAGAAATATACAATGTATATATGCATGTATATATATACATGAGAAATTCTATAGAAAAAACCCCTTTTGGTATATGCTATGCAGGTATATAATACATATACAACAAAGAAAGGACAACCCTATTTTGTTAAACCAACCAATAGCTTAGGCTGTTTCAACTATCTTCATAACAAAAATAGAACATAAAATCCGGAGTTCAAGTATTGCACTATTTGAATTTGGGATAGTTCAATTCAATCTGTACATTTTTTTTCCATTTACCAACCTCCCAAAAACCAAAATAGTAAATTCTGAAAATTGAAGTACCCATGTAAGCCAAATAATGAGAATAAACCTTCTTTATGAAATGATTTACAAACGTTCACTCTCCTCCCCCACCCTCACCACTACCGGCCACCACCCACCTCTGCCACCCTCTGGCAGCCCTTAAGCCACCTCCCAGCAACCCTCTAATCACCTTGTGACCTCCAGCAAGCTTTGGCAACCCTCGGGCAAGCCTTAGGCCAACTTCCACCCTTCAACCACCCCATGACGTCTGGGCAGTCACCCACCGCCGGCCACCATTTCTAATAATATATTGTTTTCCAAAAGCTCCAGGGCTGTTCACCAGGACCATGAAAATAATTATCTCAAAAACTATAACAAATACTCCATTTTCCCAAGTCCACTCTCACACTGCTTTGAAGCTTTCTGACAAAAGTTGGTAGTATTGTTTTTGCTGCACCCGAAACAAGTTCATAAATTAGGTGGAGGGAGAAAAATAAATAAATAAAACTGAGCTGATTAAGGCCAACGTACATGCATGTTTTTGCATACAAAGACACTGCTAAAATCATTATTAACTCATACCTTGCTTGAGACGGATGGAGTGATTTTTTCCAGAGCCTGCTCAAAATGCCTTTTCTTGATAGTCAATGATGTGGCATCTGAACAACTACTTCAGGCAATCAGTTTCTCCTCGAGTGCAGCCATGGCTGCTTCATTCATCTAGCGTTGACAAAAACAAAAACAAAAACAAACCATACGCAGTTAGGAAAAGCCCAACCACAAGCCAAGCTTGGCATGAGCATGAGCATGAGCATGAGCATGAGCATGAGCATGAGCATGAGCATGAGCAGACAATCTCGGATTGCAAGCCGA